GAAAGCATAAAAAGTGCAAAAAATACCGCCCCCGGGTGGGCTCGAACCACCAACCTTTCGGTTAACAGCCGAACGCGCTATCCGATTGCGCCACGGAGGCGATGAATATGCCACTCACTATTTGCCAGGTCGTGGCTGTCTATGTGTGTTGCACCCATACACGCTCTACTGAATCGCACAGTTTATGCTCCCAGTGCTCAATACTACAGGTGCTGCTCATCAGTGTATCGATTATTACTATTCCGTACAAATCTATTACTTTTTAATTAGTTTTGTTTGTTTTGTCTTATCTGTGCTTTCAATCACTAACTCATGTCATATGAAAGCTATTTGTGTTTTATTTTATACAGAAGTAATTAGCTATCATAGTAATTAATATTAGAGCTTATAATTTATGTTATATTAGTATCAAGGAAAAATTTATTGATTTTTATTAAATCATATTTTGCTAGCTTAACGTTCGTGATAATACAAACTTGCTCACAATTTAGTTTAGAAATTATATATTTATTATTTCTTTAGTTGAAAAAATATTTTAAAATTTTTAATCATATCATTTGTCACATTTGATTACAAAAATAAAACAACTTTTAAGACAAAAATTTCATATATTTTAAGGAATATTTGCATTAATGATTAAAAGTGACAAATATTTAAACAAATGTCAAAAGTATCTCAAATTTCGATGTCTTCGCAAATAAAACACAAATTCTTAGTAAAAGCTATGAAAGCGTTTGAACTGTTTTTGATGGATACTATTCCTGTGGTTAACACTTAAGGCAATGTCAACAACATTAGAGCTCAAGAAGTAATCGGCGGCTATAATGTTGACACAAGTGGGCCACCGGTCGCTGAACCAGTTCGTGAACTCAGCATTTGTTAGTAGAGCTAAATGTCTTAAACTCTTGTACTTGAGCTTAAAGATGCCCTCCATGGTAGGGGTCAACTCAGCCATGGCTGACCGCAATGTGTTCTTGTTGTCCGTGCATAGGGTGTCCTCGAAGTACTGTATGAGTGGCTGTAACTCATCCTTCTCTCCCCATTGCTGGCGTACATTAGGCCACAGGAGTTCATTGAATAGGTATTTGCGGGCATTGATGTCGAAACCGATCAAAACCCTCTTATTCTTACGGATCAACTCATTGACAGTAACGCCGTATCCGAGGCTACAGTCCGTCATATGATAGCAAACAGTGGATTGTATTACAAAAAAAATGTTTCAATGGTTTGTTTTAAACTGAAATAGTGGTATAGTTTTGAAGGTTTGTAACAATACCTGAAAGGAATCATCAAATCTTTGAGTTCACTCGATATGATATCAAAGAACTCTTTGTATCTCTTTTTCAGAATCTCTACATTTTTTTCGTCCAGAAATCCGGTCACAAAGCGATGAAAATCAAAGATAACGATCTCTTTTGGCGCTGCCTTTAAAAAGTCTTTCACCTGTTCTGCAGCCGACCTCAGAGTGACATCAGTCCTGACGATGTCGTGAACTATCCATAGCTTGTCGTCATATCCGCTAACGTTGTGATAACCGACTCTCATATCAAGATATCTGATGCCATAAACGAGTTGATTGTAAATGCTTTCGTCTTGTGTTATAGTGAACCCTCTAATGACTTGAATTCGTAATTAAAACAAATTTCTTCAATCAATTGATTTATAATTAAAGCATTCGACACATAATTACTATTTCATTATTACTATTGCAGTAATTCCTTACAAATGATTGCTTATAAATCTAATTAGAGCTTTATATACAGTATCTGTAGTGGAAAAGTAGTGTAAAAAACTTGAGAAAAACTCAGTTAATCCCTCAAATCAAAAGGTGCTAATCTTTTTTTTTATAAAAAATGGATTTAGTTGGAAAATATCTTCTTATTAGAAAATTATCGTTATATAACATATAACTTCATTATAGGCACTACATCTCACAATAAATAATACTTTCACTGAAACTTATTTCTTGAGTCTATTATTTATTTGAAAGAAAAACATTTTTTATCGAAAATAAAGAAAAGGTGAAAACTAAGTCTTACTGTCGCCGACAGATTTTGGCCCCCATTTCTCATAACTGCCGGAGTCATGAGTGCCCGGTATGACCAGTGACGGCAGTTTCTTGTCACCAATTATTGACAGATTGTTTTCCATCCAAAACGGATTGTTTTTGATGCAATTCTTTGCAAATACAATACTGTTGTGAATATACGCCACATAATAGCCCAGACATTGTTGAGTCAGTTTACCCGTCGCAAAGTTTCGGTATGGGAATTGAATGTCTGTCCTGTTTATTCAATTCTTTACAATTAATTATCCCGTATAATTTCTACTTTAACATTGTACCATATTAAATACACAGTGTGTGCAGTATGTAGAAAATAAATATTGTTTAACATATAGTGTTTTTGTTAATCTCACTTGTTTTTTATCACACATTTTAATTAATCATTTCATATAAATTATGTTTAGTATTATTAGAAGTCTAATCATGAGCTGGAAATTCTATACCTTGTAAATATGCAAATAACATATATCCTAAATAAAATGATTTATACATCTTGTACAATATGGTATAATTCTTAGCATAAAATTAGTTACCTTATAAATATTTAAATAGGATAAAAATAAAGGTATTAGTTTACTCACACATTATATCCATTTAATCTGGAGTTCACATCAACTACTCTAATAGCACCGGTGCTATCAATGGGATCAGATGTGAATATTCCAACCCAATCGTTAAGATTAGATTTNTAAATATTTATAGTGAGAGCTAATGTAATAAAATGAAAACTAAATGCGAAAATTCGCACATTTTTCTCACTATTATACGAATACATGGTAATAGTCGGGGAATAAAGTAATTGTTATGAGACTGTTGTGGAAGAAAAAGACGTAATACAGGGATGTACTGTATATTTGCACAGCCGGTGACTTTCACTACCAACTCATCGCTAACTCTTTATATTATTATCTCACCAAAAGTTTGGTGGTATGGTATCATACTATGATATGTGAAAAACAAGTTATAAAACACTATAAACTTGGAAAAGAATATTCATTTTCTTTTGTATTGTAGACATTTGTACACTTATCACATGACATGACATATCACCACATGTAAGTAGGGTGTATAAGGTGTATAAACACGTAAGTTAGTGAAATAACAATAAGTAAATATTTATCGACATAATAATCACTTAATAATTATTATTGTTTTTGCTAAATATTTTCTGTTATATCAAAGATTAAGAGATTCATTAATAGTTAAATAACAATTAAATACAAGACTATCATTCATATTAATTGTATTTTTTGACATTCAATTAAGCCTTTTAAATATACAATATGCTATTATAGTATTTATAAAATGACAAATTCTCTTTAATGACTAATTTGTTGTAAAAATCTTGTGAAATAAAATGTTGAATATTTATTGGTAATTTCAATTTAAAATTTATTTGAGAACAAAAATATTTAAATTTATGTAAATTAGATATTTGGAATTAATTTCAATTCTAAATAACATTTAAATAAATAGAAAACATTATTAAAAACATTTACAATATCATTTTATTCATGAATTCCTACAGAATGTAATGTTCCCACAGTTTCTGAAATTTTAAGATCCTTTTGAACTTCAAATCTTTATTATGAAATAGTTTTATCGAAATATTCCTATGATTTAACCTATTTTTCACACATAATCTATAAATAAAAATTAGAAAGGATTGAGTTTGAAACTTTCATACATTCTGTAAAAAATGTTAAACTATTGTGATATAATCTATGATATAAGTTGTTTGGTTCACGTCTTAAATAAAAGGAAAATTTTAATAAAATCCAAAAATATTATACATTCACATGAGTTTAAATATTATCTTTTGTTTGTTTGACAGTCAAACTTTGACTTAACATATTAATAAATACCTGAATAGTATAGTAGTTATTGTAAACATATTTTTAATTTAATCAAGTTTTCATTATCTTTAACTTATCGTAAAGTTTATATGCGATAAACTAAATTCAACTCTACATTTTAAATTTCTATATTACAATACTGTATTGAACATAGAATATTTTGCCTGGAAGTAAATGATACTCAATTTAAGTTATGTTAACACCACGCTAACATGTTTAAAAAATAATGAGTTTTGATTATTTAGGTAAAAACAACATAGATAATATTTCACTTTAACAAACTAAATGTATAAAATATATTTAAAGCATAAAATATGATAGAGTCGTCAATTGCCATATTTTAGAAATTAATCTTTTATGCTATAATCCGATGATTTATTGTATGTAAT